TGACGTGATCACATTTTCTTAAAAATAAGTTTTCTCCCTTGTTTATGAATTAATTTTCTTAGTTTTTGAATCATAAGATTTGTAATTGAATTATCTTTAAAAAACATAATAGGTGATTTGATTAATTTTCGTATGCAGTTTTTGATATATTTACGTTTAACATTTTTAAGCGGCTGCCATTTTGAAAATAAACACTATAAACAAATATTTTTTTCCTTTAATTATTTTTATTTCTTAAGGTAAATAAGGTCATAGAATAAATTAATTTTTTTTATAACAAGCCGTTCTTGAATATAAAGGTTTTTGTAAAAAAAACGGGCAGCCTATAAAAGTAACTTATGAGTTTTTGAACATGATATTTTGACCATAGTCCAGGAATAATCCATGAAAAAGTTGGTAGAGATTGCCGGGACACCCTGTATATGTGAAACAAAACTTATCTGACCTCACTTTGTAGATTCAATGCCATTTTATGAGAACTTGTCATAACTTGTATGTTAAATATTTTGTATGGAAAATTTTCTAGCTCCCAATTCCCTATTTCCAAAATTGGTTGTTGTGCGAAACCCACTAACTTGTTCATTTTCGGAATTGACTCACTCTGGAACCTGCTAACCTGCTCTAAAACTGGATTAGTGAGTTTCGTCTTCGTCCGAGTACAAAACTGGGTAACTCGGTCCCTTAGCGGAACTCACTAACTACCGATGAGGACCCCACCCTATGGGAGCCAAGCATGAAGAATATGGACCAGTGTTGCCGAAAGTGTAGTAAGAGTAGAAATTAATTATATGCTTAGTTAAATATTATTTCATGTGTCTGTATAGTCCATTTGGATCTTTTACAATTTATGAAATATAATCTACAATATTTTACGCTGTAAGCTGATTGTTTTGCTTAAATTGATCATTTGTTAACTGCTGCATATAAAACTCTTATAGAACTAGCATGTTATCATAAATGGTAACACTCTGCCACCGGTCTTGCCCAACCAGTCATTTCTGAAAAGAGAATAGCCCTGCAGTGCAACAAATTCGGATAAAATACTTGGTTTTAAACATGTTTAAAAAAGAGGAATGATTTTGAAACCTAAAAATCGCTCTGAGCTTTTCAATGATTGAACATTAATGTGCTCGGCTTTGAACTATTTGGTGCAAGGAGCGAGCTTTTCAGAGAGGATCTACGCATTATCAGGCGTGGTAGGAGGAATAGGCAGGGGGGGCGGCTGGTCTGGTATCCTGGACCTACAGCGGAAACCCGTGGCGAGGGGCGGAGGACGCGCACTGGCGTAGCTGTAACAGGCTCATTCACACTCATTCTACAGTCATGAAAGCTTATATAAAAAAAAAAATAATCACATTCAACTTATATCTATATTCAGTCGTAACCAACATAGTGAAATACAATGCTAATAAACATGTTCATATTAGGCTCTTAACGAAATAATGTAATTAAACTAAACAAACAAATTCTTTGGCCCCTTTTTGAAAGTCAAATAAAAAAATTAATTAAAAATAAACTACTTCACCTATTGAAAAGAATTTAAAAATAGCTGTCAATTTATTAATCATGTTTAAAATAGCCTACTAAATGAATTTTTCCTAGCCTTAATGGTGATCCTAGTTCCCTTCAGATTCTTCTAAATGTCAAACACTTGCCGAGGCTCCCGGTAGCTTGTGAATCAGACAAAGATAGGGGGTTGTCGTCTTCTCCCGTTGGGTGCTAGTCCAGACTCTCTCCTGACTCTGTACGATCTGCACAAGTTGGCCTCGGTTATCTCTGCAGATCTTGCAATCTGCCGACGCTGAATATCCTTATGTTGTTGTGTCGCTGGTATTGCTCCAGCTTATCTGTCTTCTTCTCCAGCCTTGCCTCCACGCCCTGCAGAGTGTCCCAAAGTTCAATCACCTTGCTGTGCAAACTCTCCAGTTCTTCATTAGTGGCTGACATGGCGGTGCAACTCGACCACCACCCTTATCTTGTCGACCAGCTTGATAACAAGGGTGTCAAGCACACTGCTCCCTGCGAGATAGTCGGTGACGCAGATCTGGATGTAGCTAGGGTTTATGGACATCATGGAGGTCAGAGTCTTGGTTGGCGTGGCCGCAGCAGATAACAATGGTCTTATCAGCATGTGAATTGAACAATGGTACTAGCCTGGCCTTTGCACTGGAATGTAGATGAGGTGGCGACCAGAACATTAAACAGGAAATGCCATAAAACTATTAAATATCTTACTGTTCATCGGATTAAAGTCGATTCTGCACTGAGAATCTCTACAGCTATCCGTGGGTACAAATTACTCCGTAAAATTCCAAGATTAGACCTAAAACATATACAGTTAATAAGAACACGAAACAAACACCGGTTCATTCTACAAGCTTCATCCCCTCCTCTCCCTAGTTTGAGGTTTCTTGGTTAACACATTAAAAAAATAGCCAGGATATTTATAGGATGACCACAATAGTTCTTAGTGAAATTGTACATATCCCCTAGCCATGATCATAAATCAATGTCTGAAAGTGGGGGTCATTCCTAACATACTATAGTTATAATAGGGTAAGTGACATATCTTAATGGAAGTCTTGGTAAGAATCTTATTTACTAAGTAGGTTGTCTAACTCTTGATTTCCTTCTGAAAGTATATTTAAGGAGGGTATAGATTTAAGTATCTCAGGACATGGGGATTAGTACTTTTATAGTTACATAAGGATTTCCAAGAACTTACATTTTGGTATTCATAAACTTTAGCCGTAATGCTGCTGAGACAGTTACAATTACAAATATACTCGTTTGTTATATTTAAATTGCGAAATTCCTAAAAAGGCTTACAATGCTGAAAGGGTCCTACATCAGCAAATATTCAAGTGGGTTTAGTAGGTTTAGAATTATTTTCATACCAACTGAGTAATAACCTGATCCCTTAACCCATTGGCGCCGACTTACGAGCGTTACTCGTACGGCCGCTGCAGGCCCGGAGGCCGACTTACGAGAGCTGCTCGTGTCACCGCTAGGCAGCGCCATTTGTTATTTAGTTATTATTATTTTTTGCTCTTTTTGTTTCTTCTTACTATTATAATGTTTATAAATATCTTGCTTCTTGATTTGCGTATTTACTCATTATTTTAGCGAATAAAAAACAATTTTGTGTTGCTATGGAAACCACATATCACCAAAAATCATCTGCGGTAAGGTAAACAAACAATTTTTTTTAAATGTTATTACTTATAAAAGTACACAACTTTTGATTTTTCTACGTAGGGAATCGATTGACCTTTATAATAGTAGTGTTATTTGGTGTCTGGATTCATCTTGGAATTTGTATATCAAGTTCACTTTCAAAATATTGTTTTTAAAATTTTTATTTTTATAATCTTTATATATATATTTTTTTAGTTTAGAACTTTGACTATCCAATTAACACTTTTCTGTAGACAATTTTACTGTGAACAAAATGGTGAAAGAATTATTAATTTATTACCTAAGGTTTTCTTTCTATAGCAGTTAGAGTAAAAGTCTACAAATTTGGTAAAATTAATTGCCGCCAGAGGGTGCTGCAGGTAGCGGATTAATTCCTTCCCCAATGGGTTAAGCAATATTGCCTCCTTTAAAAATAAAACTAGATATACCACGATAGTGGATCTGATGGTATGATAACTTCTAATATTCTTAGGTGATACAAAGTTCCGGCTAGTCTCTTACAAACACTGGTCAAGAGAATAACTTGTTACTAGAGGTTAAAATACCTTATAATCCGTCAGTGTGATCAAAAAGTCACCGATGAAAGGCGACCGGTTTCAACCCATCAAAGGGGTCATATCAGGCGTTGAATGGACACAAAATTACTCCGAAGAGGTCGTCATAAAGTCAATAAACACAAGACAAAGAACAGTTAAAACACTTAAACACATTTTTACAAAAACACGTGTGGCCACAAAATGACTGCGCGGCGGACGGTATGTGCACATTGAGTTACAAGTCCAGACTGTCGTCACTGCTGTCTTGTCCATCTGTCATCCCCGTCCCCTTCTTCCAGCTCTTATCAGGTCCTTTCCGTGTTGTTATCATTCTTTTAATGCCGACTGCTGTTTCATATAATAAAGGATTTTTCTTGCGATCTACAAAGCTGGCAAGAAAAATCCTCAACACATTTTGAACTAAAAAGCATCTTTTGAAAGCAATTCATCATATAAAACAGCAGTCGGTATTGAAAGAATGATAACAACACGGAAAGGACCTGATAAGAGCTGGAAGAAGGGGACGGGGATGACAGATGGACAAGACAGCAGTGACGACAGTCTGGACTTGTAACTTAATGTGCACATACCGTCCGCCGTGCAGTCAATTTGTGGCCACACGTGTTTTTGTAAAAATGTGTTCAAGTGTTTTAACTGTTCTTTGTTTTGTATTTATTGACTTTATGACAACCTCTTCGGTGTAATTATGTGTCCATTCAACGCCTGATATGACCCCTTTGATGGGTTGAAACCGGTCGCCTTTCATCGGTGACTTTTTGATCACACTGACGGATTATAAGGTATTTTAACCTCTAGTAATAATTTATACGAGAGGTCGTCCAGTGGTCGAAACTCGACCAAAAATATGTAATGTACTCACTTATCTATTTTCACCCCACACTGTAAATAAAACATGTGATTGGAGTTTCCTCCATTTGTTTTGATTTTCTGTTTATATTTCGTTGTTATTTCGTAACCAGCATAGCAACGCATAAGATCCATGTTAATTTTTTCAAATTTTTAAACTCATTTTTTGTGCTTATCTTTGAGCCTATTTAAATTTATAAAGGGATTCTGCACACCTACAGGAAAATAGCTTTCCAACGGTATGCGTAGATTTTCCCTACGATTCACACGAGCTGAGAAAAAAGGTTTTAAAGAAACATGCTTGCCTATTAATATATAGATAGATATTGTGATCAGGAGGCAAAAACAACAAAAATTAAGAATAACTTGTTTAAACCTGACAATAAGTTTGTTTTTCAGAGGTACACATAGACCACCAATTCAGCCCACTAATCGTCCAGTTATGGCTCAAAAAATGTTGGTGCAAAGTCTAGAGGCTGAGAATTCATTGCTATCAGAGGTAAGTAGAATTCTGCCTAACATCACGTTTAGCAAGACCTATAACCATGATTATGTTATAAGAAATTTTATCTATTACAATTCTGTAGTTAAATTGAATCAGAGGTAAGTAGAATTCTGCCTAACATCACGTTTAGCAAGACCTATAACCATGATTATGTTATAAGAAATTTTATCTATTACAATTCTGTAGTTAAATTGAGATACTAGCAATCCCAGACAATTGTCATTATTTCAAAACTAATAAATCTGAAGTTCTAAGTGACACATTATCCCCCAATTTTTTTTTCCGAAAAGATATTTTGATGGTGTGCCGTACTTTTTTTTACAATTCCTTGGGCTAGAAATTTCAGCTCTGCTACAAGTGGGTGAGTGGGAGGATCCCAAAAATGTTGTGTAGACTAATTATTACCGGTATGTGCTTTTAAATCATTCAACATTTTCAAAATTGGTATTTTACTGTAAATTAATATTATTTATCAAGAGTCAAGGGAAGTAGTTAAAAAATCCAAAGTGACCAATAATTAAATGTAAACATACAGGTGTTTCACAAAGAGGTTGCTATTTTTGAATTATTTCACCAGTTGTATTATACGCTACAAACATAAAAACCAGTTATAATAAATAAATTTGTAAAAAATCCCCTTAGTCTAATTTGATTTCAAAGAATCAGTACAAAATGACAGAGCAACAAAGTAAGAACAAATTAGCAAAAAGTTTGCTATAATAAAGCTAACCTACTCTGGGCAGCCGGAAACATAAAACCCTGAATTTATTGGATAAGAATTGATATAGGAATACCAAGCAAATATAGAAAACATAGAATGTAAAAATGAGAATAAGAATGTAAAATGTGCTACCGTTCTCGACAATGTTTGACCCTTTTAAATGGTTCATTTATTTTGTTCATATCTTCTTTTAAATATTGCAATAAACAATTTATTTTCTCTTAGATGGCCTTTTTCTCATATTTCTTGTTCTCTTCCAAGGACAGAAGTTTTGGCAGCTGATGTTAGAACCTAGGTCCTACACAATCGTATGAAGTATATAATGAGTGTTTCAATCCATTTGGCATCAGAAGAAAAACCTTTATGTTGACCAATATTTTAGGCCAAATAACAAAAGAGTAATGGGGCAAACAGGGTCTGGCCGCCATCTTGGATACCGCACTTCCGGTTCAAATTTCGCTTTGGCAACACGCAGATTTGTACTCAGCAGGGTCGAATTACCCTAAAAAATCGGTTTACCCAATCGTTACATAAAGTTTTTCTTGCATTGCTCTTTTTAAAAACGTACCTTCTCCAATTGTGTTTTGTTGTAAATTAATAGCATTAATAATATATGGATTATTAAATTACAAATTATTAGATTTTGGTTATTAAATGATAAAGGATAATTACGTTTTTGTTACCCAAGCAGCTACAGGTTGAGTTTGGACATATTTCGTCAGTAAAAACTCAAATATAATCACCTCAATGTATATTTAATCCTTTTTAAAAGTAAAATCTTTATTAAAATCTAATTTATCACTTTTTAAACGAGAAATAACCATAAGTGTACTGAAGACTCTTAAAGAAAATTTCTTCTTCTTTTCAAAAATAAAAGAATTATCAAAATCGGTCAAAAAAGGATGGAGTTATTTGTATTTTTCTCGATCAAGGTCAAGTCAGGTGGTCCGCCATATTGGATGGCAGCCATATTGGTACTCGACCAACGCCGATCGTGGCAACATGCGTTTTCTTACTGTCCAAAGTGTCCTTAACAACAATCAAAAGAGAAAGTGCGTCCGAATAATTTTGCATACTCAACCCCAACCCCGGCCTGGTCTATCTAGTAATTTGAAACTATTTTAATTGGCTGAGCTAAAAGTCATATATATATATTGCAGTTGTACGACACTGAAGCAGGCGGTGATGGCTTGGCTCACAAAATGTCACCTCGTAAAACCAGTTATCGCCCTTTTGAAGACCACAGCGACGACAGTGACGCTTCCAGTTTGTGTTCTGAGCGATCGTTTGACTCTTACAGACGCACTTCAGATGTAAGTGACTCTTTTGTACATATTTGTTTCTTTGTTGGCTGTTACAGGATTTCAAAATGTTTGAACAAATCAATTAGCTATAAATATATCAACTGCTAGAAACATTCTGTTTTGGTTATATAAGAGTTAAAACATATATTTTTATGACAAAGAGTATATAAATATTCTTGTCTGACAAGATAAACAGCATGTAAGTAGTTTTAAATGAACAAACAGTACAATTATCATTGAAATATAGGTTGTTGAGATTAATTAAAATATAAAATTAATGATAATGGACCCCTTACTGCATTCCATGCATTCATAAATTCACAAAAGCACTATTTTCCCGTGGATACGAAAAAGAAGTGACAAAGGAGTTCTTACATTTTTAGTTCCTTTGATCTTTATTTTATAACCCCATCTTGTATTGTTATTGTTAGTTAATCCAACAAAAGTACAATAACTAATTATTCATTACTAAGGTTGATACAAAAAGAGTGTACAAAATAAGATAAGCTTACAGGAAGTTTAGTAGGAAATTGTAGTAGCTTGTACGATGTTACTTCTGATATTGATATTTATATCATACAGTAAAACCTATTATATCCAGTATACACAGGACCAGGGTCATAATGGATAAACAAATTACCAGATAAACCGATTTTACCGATTTTTGAGAAGAAAAAAAAGCCTTCAGCAAGTCTCTGCAAAACCGCAATATAAGAGTGCGTATACTGCATTTCCCTTGCAAAGGTGTTCTACATTTTTTTTTTTATAAAAGAAAAAGTCTCGGAGAAAAGTCAATTGCGCTTGAACTAACAAGATTTTTTTAATCTGACAAATTTCTTGAAAATTTGAGACCCGACCCTCCCTAAAAAAACAGACACCTTGTTTTATACAAAAACTTGCATTCATGATTCCTTTTAGATTTGTTGAGTAGGTGAGTTTTAGTTTGAAGATCTTCAAGTTTGAACGTAGTGTAGTACTTAATTTATAAAAATTAGAGCAGACTTAAACACTAATATTAAAAAAATATAGTTTACAATATTTAGTTGACTTTGTGTAGTTAAAAATTACATTATAAATCACAGTTTTTTAAATATAGGTACTACAAGATTAATAAATACAACATAATTGTTTATTGTCATTATTGTTTATTGCATCTTGAATAGAAAAAACAATTTTAATACTAAATTTATACAAAAATCTGAAAATAAAGTAAAAGGCTGTTTAGATCGGAACATCTCCGGTATCACGGAGACATCATCATAGTCAACCGCAATCGTGGCAGAATGGTAATCAATACTCCAGTGATCATGGGGACATTATTATCGTCACTACAATCGCAGCAAATCACTAACTATAGTAAATAAAAATTAAAAATTGCTTCTTAAAACATTGTTTTGTACAAATCGCTGTGGCCCCTTTTAGTCGACCTAGTGTTAAATCAGACACTGATTGTAGGTGAGGTTGGACTAGGTTACATTAGGTAATGCAAAATTTGAATTTATTGAGTCAGTTTGTATTAGGTTTAGGTAAAAAATGGAGTTAGCTAACCTAACCTTGCCTCGTCTGTGCCTTAAATAAAAAATACGAGTACTCTATAGATTATTGCATCTCGTCAAATTGTAACACTAAACTAAATAGAATGGCAATAAAACATTGAAGTTTCCATAGTTATTAGATGTGAGTGCATGGTTTGTTAGTGTGTTGCACGTAAATGTCGTCACTAACATAATCTGTTGTTAGTCGTACTCGTGGAGTGGATCACAGCAGAGGTTATACAGAGACGTGTGGGAATCAGGGACCAAGGTAAGTCTGTCAACCTACTTGCTTACTCAAGCAAGCAAATCTGCTTCTTCTGCTCCTTGTAATTCTAACAGCCATGCCTATCATCCGCTTTAATACTTGAACAATTCACTGTTGACAAAACTTATCTCCACTATGGTGTCCAATACTGCATTGAGCAAACATTCTCCTTGTTTTAAACATTCAGTGTTTGAAATATTAAATGAATGAATGCTGAATTCTGTAATATAATTTCAAGACAAATAATTATATTTGTTTATTCTATTTTAAAGTGTTTTAGCATTGGACCTATATAAAGTTAATTAAATGCTCAAAATAATAGGTATGAGGATAGTTAGCGATAACTCATAAAATAAGTGTAAACTAGAAAATTGTAAAGAATTAAGAATATCCCTTTTCTAAATCTAAAAACACATTGTTTACTAAGTGCAGGTCACTAAAGATCAAGGCAAAGTGAAGATAGCATTTGATTAAACATCCTGTTTTAGAAAAACTGCAGCATTCTCAACCACTCTCAGATTTTATGGAACACATTAAAAGAAAAGAAATTGAGAAGATTGTTAAAGCTGCATTTGAGACAAAAATTGAAACAAATCTTAGTCCAACCTTAGTATGGAATGAAATTGGCCATCATCCTCCTACTCACAGGATTGTGAAACAACCTGGGAAACTCGGTTCTGCCACAAATCTACATTGTTTTGAAGTGGGTTCTCAATACAGACAAACTCAGTTCTGCAACAAATTCTCCGTTGTTTTGAAGAGGGTACTCAGTACAGGGAAACCCGGTTATGGTAAAAATCTACATTATTTTGAAGATGGTTCTCAGTGCAGGGAAACTCGGTTCTGCAACAAATTCTCTGTTGTTTTGAAGATGGTTCTCAGTACAGGGAAACTAGGTTCTGCAACAAATTCTCCGTTTTTTTTTTAGAGGGTTCTCAGTGCAGGGAAACTCGGTTCTGCAACAAATTCTCTGTTGTTTTGAAGATGGTTCTCAGTACAGGGAAACTAGGTTCTGCAACAAATTCTCAGTTTTTTTGAAGAGGGTTCTCAGTACAGGGAAACTAGGTTCTGCTACAAATCTATATTGTTTTGAAGAGGGTTCTCAGTACAAGGAAACTCGGTTCCGCAACAAATTCTCCGTTTTTTTTAAGAGGGTTCTTAGTGCAGGGAAACTCGGTTCTGCTACAAATCTATATTGTTTTGAAGAGGGTTCTCAGTACAAGGAAACTCGGTTCTGCAACAAATTCTCTGTTGTTTTGAAGAGGGTTCTCAGTACAGGGAAACTCGGTTATGCTACGAATTCTCCTGTTGCCCTGTTGAGAACTATCTGTTCTGAAAAGGGCTCTCAGAACAGTCAATTGCCCACATTACAAACACATTATTAATGTTAATGTTAATAATATGTTTAATGCTAAGTTTGAAATATGAGTTACAATAAAAAAAAAAATACATCTTTGCTATTGATGCAGTGTAAACAAAACAATAACATCACAATAACAATGAGGGTGGGCGATATATACATTTAGACAGAGTGAATGTGATTATAATTATTTATAATTAATTAGTTTACTATGACAATTTTGACATCCAAACTACTGGATCTTTATTTCTGGTGCATCTAGTTAAAAAAAAACATTTAATAATTTATTCCTTAGGATTGGCTTAGTGGGAAAATTTTCATTTACTCATTGTAGTACCAACGAGTTGTCTGAAATCAATACTAGACACCTTATGGGATTCACCCTGAATATTTCTTTAAGTACATTTTTTTAGCGCCTCAACAATAAAACACTAGTAATCCAGATGCACCATTTTCAACTGTGTTGTACGTACTTAAAATTCACTCTAATTTTTGCTTGTGCTTTGTAGAAAGTCCTAGTTTGTATGCTTGTGCACTTAAGTAGTTCTTATTTTTGTATCATTGCCTGTTTATTGTTTGTACTTAACTTGTGTAACTTATTTTTGCATGTTGTTATACTGAACAGTGGCGAAGCATGGCCAACTTGTGTAGTAATCTCTGATTCAAAAGATATAACAGTATGTGGTAAGGGGGGAGGAAGGAAACAGCGGGTAGGGGATGATGTTATGTTTTTTGATAAGTAAAAATAACATTTTAACACGTTCCCTACCGACCGTCACACTTCTCTGTAACTGAGGGATGAGTATAGTTGGTAGCTAATGTGTTAACACGTTCCCTACCGACCATCACACTACTCTGTAACTGAGGGATGAGTATAGTTGGTAGCTAATGTGTTAACACGTTCCCTGCCGACTGTCACACTTCTCTGTAACTGAGGGATGAGTATAGTTGGTAGCTAATGTGTTAGCACGTTCCCTGCCGACTGTCACACTTCTCTGTAACTGAGGGATGAGTATAGTTGGTAGCTAATGTGTTAAACATCAGAAATGAATGGATTGAAACCTGACCATTTCAATCATAAGTTATAATTCACTAATAATTAATTTTATACTTAAACTAACATTAGTAACAAATTTGCCTTATCAAATCAATATAGTCTTTGTAATGGCTAATATAGGACTATCCTAAAACTATCTTATTAAATATAAAAAAATATTTTTATTCATTTTGAGACTAAATCATGGATCTTTTCCGTTAATTCACTACCACTAGTGGAATGTGGTTAGGTTAGGTTAGGTTTCTCTAACTCTATACTAACCTAACCTAATCCAACCAAAGTTTAATTTATTACCACTTCTATTGCTAATAATCTATTGCTCTGGGGGCTGGGGAGCAAGCTGGCGTAGTGGTTAGAGCGTGGGACTTCAGTCCCTGAGGTCCCGAGTTCGATCCCCGTCTAGTCACCAATGGATTTTATCTAAGTTTTGTGCCGTTCTGGGAAGCCATAACTCACAAATTAACAGAAACAATCATTTTGGGTTAATGTTGAGAAAAAAATATTTGTGAAGATTGGCTGAGTGATTTCCTCTTGTTCCTATCATAAAAATTCCTTGTCATAAAAACACTGATCAGCTAACTAATAAGTCTTTGATTACAAGAAGCTTTGTAGAGTTTTACTTCCCAATTTAAACTTGCTAATGTTGGTTTTGCGTGGTAACTTCCATTTTCTACCCTTGTCTCTTTGTGTTCGCTAAGTTCTACTGTACAGATCTATTGTTGGATAGGCTACATTGTAGAACTTTTATGTTTACAATTATCTTGTTCCCAAAGACGGTAATTTCTGTAAATATCAAAGTATTTACGTCCATCATGTGTTGATAATCAAAATTTAATTCAAATTTTAAATTTTTCTATCCCAACCCATAAGTTATTGATTTTTTATCACCTCTATTCTGTTTCTGGTTATTCTGCAGTCCTGGTCCCCAATGTATAACAAATTACCAAAACAGTAAAAAACTGTATCAAATTATTATTTTTTTTTTATCTATAAGAAACTCTCTCCTCAATTTAGAAGTTTGAATTGGAGTTTTTCCCCCAGCAACGTTGGTTATAGAGAGCAATATGTATTATTCTTGTGATTGATTGTTTCAGGATATAAGTGAGATAATCGCTAATTGTGAAAGCACACAATGGACGGATCGAAAGGAAGGTTTGGTCGGTCTTCAGGCATATTTGCAGGCCGGCAGTTCCTTGAATGCCACGGAGCTCAAACGAATAACAGACTGCTTTACTAGAATGTTTATGGACTCTCATACCAAGGTAAAATAGCCTAAGTTTTAAACAGTGGCTGCATTTTCACATTTTGCTAATGCATAAAAAACTAAGGGAGTGTTGCACGACGTCCAAGTGCCACGACGTCCAATAATATTTTTTCAGTGCCACGACGTCCAAAACATCATTTTTGAGTTGTTGCACGACGTCCAAGTGCCACGACGTCCAAAAGTACAGTAACTGCCAAAAATATAGTCTTTCTACAAGCTTTGGACGTCGTGGCACTTGGACGACGTGAAACAGCGCACTGTAGAATTGTAAAAAAGTATTATTTGCACCACGTCCAAAGCCTCTGCGACGTCCAAGTGCCACGACGTCCAATCAATATTTGACTGTTGCACGACGTCCAAGTGCCACGACGTCCAAAGTGCCTGCACACTGTGAACACTGTTTGCCGACCTCAGTGCATACAGTTCGCATTGCAATTATTGAAGGCAACTAGGCCTTAGTCAACTGTTTGAAAGTTGTCAACCGCTTTGTCTTCGATTAATGTTTAAATTATTCAATATTCAATGGTTCTAATTGAACTAATTATTGCATTAGCTTAAATTTTTTATATGTAAAATAAATACTATGTCACCGTAAAATGTAATGATGCAGTATTTCTGTTGTTATGATTGCATAATTGATTTCTACAAAATAGAGCTATGTCATAGAAACGAGATAAATAAATGACTAAACTATTCATTATATTGTATGATTAATACAATAAATTAATCACTAGCCCAAAAGTAAATATGGTAGGTTTAAAGTGAGTAGTGGTAGAATTCTAAGTACTGCAGTATAATAGAATTGTCGTACTATATCAATTGGTAGCGAATTTACTCGTAAGATAAAATGTATGAACAGTTTTATAACAGTTGTAAGACTTCCCATTTAAGTACCGGTATCATTGAAATTGCATAACTTCCATTGAACAGAAATGAGATAAGTAGATATTGATACACAGATATATGAATTTTTATACACTTATAATATGACGAATTCAAAAAAGGTTTATCCGTCAAATGTGCTAAATATTATGTGAACTATCACTTGTCAACTTTTTAAGCTATAATGGTGTTACTACAATGGTTAAAAATGTTTCCTGTGAAACATATATTTTTTAAACTAAAACAAGGTTTTCTTTTAGTACAAACCTTGCTCTATTAGTGCATACGAAAAATAATTTCACTATTTTACGAGATCAATGTTTGACAACAAATGGTTGAAGCAGATATTCAGAGAGTGTCTCCAGCTGATGCAGTAATAAAAACGTATTTTAGCCATAGCACAGACAATATATAATACTATAATATAATAGTAATCTATCTATCTATCTATCTATACTATTATAAAGAAGAGGTGGTGTATGTGTGTCTGTGTGTTTGTATGAGATAATCTCAAAAAGTACTGAACCGACTGGGCTCAAATTGCACGCAAATGAAGCTACAGCTCCGAGGATACATATTATACAACTATTCCCTCTTCGTTATTGTCCTAGGGCTCTGCTCCGTGGGCTTTCAAAAATTTGAGGTGAGAGATTTTAAAATATTGATTGATGGTATCCATGGTAACAAGAGCTAACCTACAATTTTTTTTTTTTTTACAAGTATTTATTTACAATCTGTTCTATACTAGAACAGTAAGTAAATTTCATGACCATTTTAACATGGGTTAGATACACTCCATCAAGTGCACTAACATACAAAAACTTTAAAAAAATTTAACTAAAACGATTTGGAATGTCTATTGGATTAACTCTTTTGAGCCTATATGTAGCTTCACTATTTGGATGGATTTCTTTGATATTTTTCACTTCGTTTTTTTATTTCTTCTCTAACATAGGGTAATTTTGTATCTTGATGAATAACTTTATTTGTGACAAACCAAGGTGCTGGTAAAATCTGTCTTAGTGTTTTAGATTGAAATCGTTGAACTATTTCTATGTTCGAGTTTGAAGTGGTTCCCCAGAGTTGGATACCCTAGGTCCAAATAGGTTTCAATATAATTTTGTATAAAAGTTATTTATTTTCAACAGATAATTTTGAATTTCGACCAATAAGCCAATTTAGTTTGTTTGTTTTAAATTTAAATAAGTCGTTTGTTCCAAATGTGTGAATGCCATGTAAGCCATGCATACCAAGGTACTTAACTTCGTTGGATTGTGGAAGCATTACATTATTCAATGTTACTGGGGGGCAAGTTCTTGTAGACATAGTAAATGTAACTTGAACGGATTTTGTTTCATTTACTTTAATTTTCCAATTCTGTAGCCACTGAGACAAATTGTCTAATGCAGCCTGAAGGTTTGATGATGTTAGAATAGGATCCTGATTTGATGACAAAAAAGCAGTGTCGTCTGCAAATGTTGCAACTGTAATACCCTGAGTACTTGGAAGGTCATACATGAACAATATATACAAAATATGTCGAAGAACACTGCCTTGTGGTACACCTGATTCAATTTCATGCACATCTGTAACTACATCTTGATATTTAATTTGAAAAAATGTTTGGACAAATACGATTTCAACACTCCATAGTGTGTATGGGGCAGCAAAGTTTTAATTTTGAACAATAGTCCTGTGTGCCAGACTTGATCAAACGCCTGGGCTACGTCCAATAAAGCAGACGAACAAAAACGTTTATTTTCAAGATCTACCTTGATTACATTCACTATTCTATGCACTTGCTCAATGGTGGAATGCTTTCGGCAGAATCCAAACTGATGGGAAGGCAACAATTCTTTTTCGTCAATTATAATTTGGAGTCTTTTAAAAAAAAGTTTTTAAAAAACTTTTGAAACCACGGGAAGAAGAGATATAGGCCGATACGAGGATGCTTGATTTAAAGGTTTACCAGTTTTCGGAATAACAACAATTTGTGAAACCTTCCACTGTATTGGGAAGTATTCGAGGCGTAAAACTGCATTGAAAAGTACTGTAAGGAATACTATTCCTTTTCTAGGCAGTTCTTTCAATACTTTACCTGTTATCAGATCATAACCGGGGGCTTTTTGCCGTTTAAATTGTCTTTTATTACTTTAGCTACTTCAGATGGTGTAAACAATTTTATCGGTAAATCAAGTTGATTTGGAGAATCGAGAAATTCCAAAATTTCTTGTTCAACGTTTGAATTTATATTATATGGCTTGAACACTTCTTTGAAGTATGAAGCAAAGACATCTGCTTTCTCGATGTTGTTTTTGGCCCAAGAACCGTCTTCTTTTAGAATAGGTGGAATGCAAATTTGTGGACGTTTTAAGTTTTTTGTAACTTTCCAAAGGGAGTAGTCACTAGCTACAGATGGAGAAAGGTTTGATGTGAAATCTTGAAATCTGTCATTGTTTAATTTAAACAGTAACCTTTTTAGTTGTTGAGTGGCCCTGTTTAGATTTCTTTTATCCGTCTGATCTCTAGAGTTTTGCCATATTCTACGGAGTCGGTGTTTTTTGGCAATTTTCCTATTAATTTCAATTGGATAGCTTATTCCTGATTTTATATTAAGTTTATTCTGGTCTGGAGTTGCTCTCCAAGCGGAGTCTTGAACTGTTTTGTTGAAATGTTCAACAGCAAGATTCAAATCTTCTTCGCTCTTCAAACACACAGAAATCTTTAAATTTTGATCCATTAATTCACGAAAATAATTCCAATCTGTATTTTTGTTACATAAATGTGGTGGAATAGGTTTGAATATAACAGTTGAAGCGATCGTTAAAATTACAGGTGAGTGGTCTGAGGAAAGGTCCAGAGATTGCTCGATTGTCACACAATCTCGGGATACACCTTTCGTAACGAAAAAATCAAGAAGGTCTGGTATTTTTTGAGGATCAGAGGGTCAATATGTCGGTTCACCTAATTTAAATTTAAAAATGTAAACAACCAGAACTAACTTTCAAATGAATTTTGATTTCACAATTCCACACAGCTGGTTCAAACATATTAAATAATGCACGAATATTAGAACAGAGAGGGTAAAGATTATAAATTTAAAATAATGATGTTACTAGCCCGAATGTAAACATTATTTTACATTACTTAAGTACAGTAGCTGTCAAACCATATGTTAATGTAATTTAATTAGTATATGATTCTTTCAGCTACTTTATTTGTTTATGTTCATGATCTATTATACTGAGTCTGTTCTATTTTTGTGAAATGCTGTAATAATATTTTACTGGGAATAATTTGTTTTAAAAGAAATCATTCATCATGGATATAGGAAATAATTAAGATTCTATAATCGTTGCCCTATCAACCCAGGCCCTTTTCCTGAGTGTTATGAGGTTTATGTTTTGATTTATTTTTGTGTAAACCGTAATATAATCCTCCTGCCACAGCAAATCTATAGACTGAATTTCCATTTGCCTGATTATATAATTTCACTAAAATATGTTAGAAAATTATCCTATTTTCCATATTTATTTATATTTTCCTATTTTTTCTATTTGTCAATTTGGAACTATTGTGATAGCTTTATGTTTACAGTGCAAACCATGGATGTATGGATGGATGGATGGATGTTTGTGACAAGCAAACGCGAAAAATACTAAACCGACAAGGTTGAAATTTGGTATGATGATAGATGACAGCCCCGATTAACATATTCTTACCTCAAAAACTCTTTCAGTCTCCGCCCCGGTGGCTCTGGCTCTGGACTTTCTCATGTTAACCTTATGAGTATTCATATTTAAAGAAATTAATTTAAAGAAATTTTACAAGTTGGTTCTATGATATTAAACAGCATTAAAAAGTTATAAGGCTTGCCAAACAGGGTGCAGCACTATTATGTTGTTTGCATTAATGACCACAGCTAATTTGAACCAACTAGAAAAAAAAAAGTTGTGGTACACAATGGAACTTAACTTTTTTCCATGGTTTAGGTGCAGTGGTAGAACATCAGGAATATGGTAGATGTGTGCTACACTATAGGATACCGTATAAATTAAAAGACCAACTTTTTTTTAAATTGTGTCCTTTCCCATAACTGCAATAAGCATTTATACTTATATGCCAACCCCGTACGAAGGACGGGTACTCTGCTAGTAACACAATAATACAAATACAGTATACTAATACAATAATACTGTAGGTTTCCGTAGTCTGTGGCCATAAGTTCGTCTGAACTGTCAATCAATTCTGAGAAATTCACAGTTGTAAATTCTTACTAGTCTTTTTCTAAGTTCACGTTGCACTCGCAATTAGTTCGGATATTTTATCTAGGAAAGCAGGTATGCCCTAAGTCATAGCATTTGTAGGTTAAGTATAATAATAACAAACATGCTTATCGTAGGTTTGTAGGCATACTTTTTCAAGAATATGCCGTGGTAGGTTTTGTTTATAAATTTTATTTTTTAATTCTTGTCTAATGACAATATTGATTTGTATTTGTGCCAAAATGTTAATTTATTTGTCAAGGGCATGAGCGGCCCTCTAGTCTATGTATGTTACATGAAGCACAAGATGAAAAAGAATAAATTAAATTAAGGTAAAAAACGGATCAGTTGCTGAAGGTCTAAATCTCGGAAGGTCTAATCAGACCTTCGACACACATTTTGCAGTTTGTATGTGGTTTGTACTTGATGCTGAGGATCCCATGAATCCTGTACGCCTGTACAAAATAAAAATAAAATGTTTCATTCAAACTACAAGTTTATTACTTTTCCGAGAACCAGCCTTTATCAGCACTTCCGCTCCCACGCTAGTTGGCAACATCAACTGTGCTATATGAAAACAATAAATCTTGAGTAAATATAATGTAATGTCCAATTTTGAGGTTGTGGTGTTCCTTCGTAAACACATTCAATTATAATCTAGGAATATGCAAATTTATTGTTATACGTTAACTTTATTGATATTCGATTTGCTGCAGTACTATTAAAACCTATAACATTTTCAATTCACGTGCGTTGTATTTTTGATTTGGGGAAACAAAAGAACCCCGTGTACAACTTATATATGATATTCTCATTGGTTGCAATTTAAATTAAATAAATTTAATTTTTTTTTTTTGTTGCAGTGGTGTAGCAAAACACAAACACAAAATTTATTGAAATAAAATTAAGTCAATGTTAAGGGAATACTATTAATATACATATTTGCGACATAAGAACATTTAATTGAAGCCTAAAAAACAGTTCGAAAAAGGCATTCTATTCATGTTGATCAATGTACATTCATCTAGTCTTGAAAAAATAACTATTTAAAAGCTTACTCCAAACATAATGAAGTTTATCGGTTGTTAACAAAATGTCATAATTTTTCAAACCATGTAAACCTTATAGTTTTCCAACTGTTGCCTTGTTTATTTTTTCTTTTTATGTTTTTTTTACTTTATGATGTTTCAATTAATGGTACAAATATTCATAGTATATATATTTCTGAACAAGAACATATACCCATGTATATATAACTAATAAAGGTTCTATAAGTATTTTACACGAGAGAACACTGTTCGACAAGTAGCCGGTCATCGTAACCGGTCATCATGAAGAAGCTTGGACGTCGTGCAACAGCGCTGAGCTATATTGGACGTCGTGCAACTGGCAGCGACTTTGGATGTCGTGCAAATGTTACTTTTTTACAATCCTATAGTATGCTGTTTCACGACGTCCAAGTGCCACGATGTCCAAAGCTTGTAGAAAGGCTATATTTTTGGCAGTTACTGTACTTTTGGACGTCGTGGCACTTGGACGTCGTGCAACAACTCAAAAATTATGTTTTGGACGTCGTGGCACTGAATAAATATTATTGGACGTCGTGGCACTTGGACGTCGTGCAATGCATCCAAAACTAAAATATTTCAAAGAGCTTTTGCAAAAACGTCGAGATGGCAAGTAGTAAAAATGGTTTTGAGAGTTTCTACTTTTGCCGAAGGATAGTGCCTTTTAGTAGAGTAGAACCACTATTAACCGTCACCCTCGGGACTTAAGGTGAATAGACGGATAACAGAAATCCTGTTATAAACCTGTACAGTAAGTATACTGTATTTAAGTAGTGAATAATACATATTCATATTTAAATTACTTACATACAAGAGTAATACAGAATAATATAATACAAGAGTAATACAGTAATACAGAACTGTTATTTTGTATGTTTTACTTGTTTAATGTTCGTACAATGAAATAATATCACATATAAAGACAAATAACAGAGAGTGATGGTTAATCGAGGTTCTACTATAAACAATCAAAAACCTCATAAAGTTATTACAGCCTTACAGATCTATATACGACATTAGTGTTAGGGATCAAAGATTAGCTGGTTTTACTGCTCAACTAGACAAAATACTTTTGATTACCATCCTCATACCTCTAGTTTCCCAAACATATCCTGTGTAGAATACCCATACCTAAAGAAAAACATGAAAATTGTTGCCTAACATGCCTTGTGTTTCTTGTAATAAACTTATATTTTCTGCTATATGGTTTTTATAATTTTTAGTCAATATATTCTCTTTGAAAAGTGCATCCAACAAGCTACAACAATGCCTACATTCATTGTTTCAGGTGTTTAGCTTATTCCTGGACACACTCAATGAACTGATCTTGATGCATAGAGCAGACTTGAACTCTTGGTTGTATGTGCTTTTGACGAGACTGCTCAATAAACTCGGGGGCGATCTTTTGGGCTCCATCCAGAACAAAATCATCAAGAGTTTGGATGTGATCAGGTAGTGTACACTTTTAGTGTAATGGTCATTTTATGTTTAAACTTTTAGCAGACTCCCTCTTGTCCGTACCTATATAGGTACCAGACCTTTTTTTAGACTAAAAAGGGAAGAATAACAAAAAAAGCTTAAAATGGTATAAATACTTGTTTAACGATATTTTTTTCATAATTCCAACTAATTTTTAAGCAACTACTTTCAGCTCCAAAATCTTAAATCTTCAGGATTTACATTACTGTCAAATTTAAAAGAACGCTAACCTGCAGTTTTGTCAGATATCCTGGTGATCACTGCTTATACAAATACAAATTTTCCTCTTTAATGATCTAACTTGATTTTAAATACCTATAGAACACAAACAAATAATAACCCTCAGCTTCAGAGACAACAATTAAGTCAGCCAAGTCATTCACCTGAAGAAGAGTAGGTTTTTTCGCTGAAATAAATATTTCTATCATTGTTGTTTTAAAAATATGTTGAAACTTGTCCTATTTTGTACCTTCAGTGAAATATTATGTCACTCACAGAATTCAAGACAACTTAAAATTCCATCAGGCAATCTCTCTAATTGCATGGCAGTATGAAGTTATGTATTTTAATAAAAAGAGGAATATATTAAATTGTTTTTGGCACGTTGCAGGGAGTCCTTCCCACCTGAGCTCCAGATGTCGTCGGTCCTGAGGTTTTTGACGGATCCTACGCAAACGCCAGGGCCAAAGGTCAAGACTGCGGCTCTGAACTACTTGACAAAGCTTGCAGCCATATGTGACCCTCAGACTGTTTTCCCACCGAGCTCACCAAGCTACTCAAAGGATTCTCTGCATTCCGCCCTTCATAAGATGATCGGTACGGTAACTAGCAGGCTTAGTTATTTTGAACTTGGCTTGATTTCGATTAGAGGTGTGCGGATAGTGAAATTTCATTTCGGATTGGATTCGGATCGGATAGTTGAGGCTCGGTTCAGATCGGATCGGATATCGGGAGGTTGGGATTCGGATATTTTCGGATTCGGATAGTTCGATGTGGCATGACAAAAGTTTGTATGTTTCCCCTGGTCCCTATCATTTAATCATTTAATATACACAATCAATGCTAAATAATCGTGGTTAGTTCTAATTTAATTTTTGATTATTCAAAGTTTCTACACAATAAGACAATCCAAAGTCAAACCGGGCAATGAATACCCGAAAAACAACGTATCTTGTCCTGTGATTGGAATACCACTTGCCAGTCCTTTAGGTTTAGGGAAGTAGTGCAAGCTGGGCAAGTCATTGCCCAACCCCTCCCACCCTTCTATTGTGTTGCCTTTCTATTGTTTCTATTCTGACTTTTTTTTCGGGAAACATTAAAGATTAAATCTATTGTTTACGTAACAGCACAGAACTAGGCTAGATTTTTATACTTTAAAACAGTACTGTAAAAAAAACTATTACCAGCGCCCCTAGTATCAGGAGACAAGCACGAGTTGACTTTCATTTGACCATGGTAGTTCTTTTCTGCTTTATGTCTGTTTGTTCCAGATGAATCTAATCGTAAAGCAAAACAGCTGATAACGACCAAACTAGATATCGGTATTGCATCATACGGCTTCTTTGTCGTTTGCTGTTACGTTGTTGGAAACGTATTGCTGTAATTTTGTCCCGGGAAACTAATGATGGTTATGAAGATTTAGTTTTCTGTCCATCGGATATATAACGGATATATCCCGGATGGTGTCGGATATCAAATTTGGGCTCGGTTCGGATACGAATATCTGAACCGAACCAAATCCGACCCGACTTTTCGGATATCCGCACACCTCTAATTTTGATCAAACTTTTGTTGTAGTCATTTTGTTAGTGTAACAGTTTATTCACTCTCAATCAAAAGAGATTGATTTTTTTAAAGTGTGATGACTGAAGAAGGCATAGGTATATAAAGGATAGGATTTATATTTTCTATGACGGGAAGTTCACGAAGTCCTCTTAAGTCCCACTTGTTCTATAACTGTGTGATGACTCCAAATTAGTTAGTTGACCGAGGTAAAACCGCACAAGTACTTTTTTTAATGAGTTTGGTGGACCCAACTGCTTAAATCTTTAAAAAAGAAGAGGATGTTTGTATGGACCTTTGGTTTTTTTTCTAAATGATCTATTGTCAAAATGCCACAAGGTTTTTACTTAACATCATAAAAACCCTAAAGATTCTCAAAAGTCCCTACTTCTAAAGAAATCAAGCCTTATCTGATTTTTTATATATATTTTCTTATAGTAAACCTAAGAAAGAAAAATATCGAGGAATCAAAATCAATATTATAAACAACCTTATTGTGAATGGTGATTTTTAACTACCATAAGTATTATCATTTTTCAGCCAATCTGTTTCATGCCATTGACTTAGTTTATGTTTTCAAGGATGGACCATTGCAGACGGTCTAAAGCACGGAAACGAACTTCGACGGGCTGCTCAAGAGGCCATCCTGGCCCTGTTCAACCTAAACCCAGGACCAGTTACCATGCGACTGGCCAAGCTACCCCAGGAGTATCAGGTAATCTTGGAGAAAAGTGGATACTTAACATGTTTTATTGTTTCAAGAGTCAAGCTATTTATTCACCGTTGAGTAGTACAACATTTGTGCGGTAATATATGAACCATAACCAATGCCATCCAGTTCCCCAACTGAGGTCTTATAACCTGCTAGACCCAATTATCCCAATTTGATTTAATTGGACAACCCCTACTGGATTTAGTTATTGATTTACATGACATTAAATAACTGATAAATTTCTAACAGCATGGTAAATATTACCTAGATCTTTTGCAATTGAAATAGTTCAACACTTTTACTTTTGGAACTACTAACCTTTAAACTCATCCGATGAATTTGAAATTTAGGCATTATAAAGAATCCAATTAGGATTTTCCTGTAAATGCCCTCCCTCAATTAAATATAGAGTTTTACTCTATAAAAGGGAGGTGGTTTCTTGTTGAACTGCAGCAGAAGTCTCAGAGCATGTAAGCTAACCTTATATTTCGCACATGCACGAGACATTGTATGGCTGGACAATTGTTCGGTGAGCTGATAAGAGCGGCGCTGCCCACGAATTAAAACAGGGTTCATCAGTTGAACAACAGTTTATACACTGCAACAATACAGTAACAGTTAAGCCTGGTTTACACGGGTCGAGTATGTCAGACGAGTTATTCGGCCCAGTTGTTGATTTGTTTAACTCGCCCGGTACTTGACTGGACTGTCTACACACATTCCTATTCCAAACAGGCACAGAGAAGTAATTTTGATTATTTCTCTGTGGTAAAGGGTATTCCGTATACCGTAGCTTTCGTGTTAAATGTTGTTTGAGTTTAAAATGGCCCTTCAAGAGTTCAATACTGAATCCATACGGTAACTTAATTAAATCACTGAATTCGATTAGTAGATATAAAACTGAATCACCACTTAAATTCAGAGGTTGCTTAAAAGCTTTTTTGCAAATAACTTTTAAACGGTGAGGAAATAGACCTGAGTGAAAAGTGACATTCTGAAAGGGAATAGAATTTGTTACAAATTACTATACTGCATTTCTTTAAAATAATATATAAAGGCAGCCAAAAGTTGCCTCCAAATAAAAATTTGAAAACACCGTTTTTAATGTATTTCTAAGATGGAACACATTTTTAGGAAGTGAGCTTTCTAACGACCCATTGATTAATAAAATCAGTCCAGTATAACTGTAGATCTTAAGTTGTACAACAATTTTGAAAACTGAATTCTATAAGAGTAGATTTACGAGACGTTTTTATAATACAGTACTGTTCAACTTGTACTTGTACAAAATCACTTGTGCTGTTCAAATAAACCATTGAGCATTGAGGGTGAGTATGCCTACACTACTCACTGAGACTGAACCAACCTCAATACTGATCGTTGTGTGTGATAGACTCACTCAGCGACCAAAAAAAATAAAAAATAAAAAATGCTGCGCCTTCATGACGTTTTTAACAAATAGCTGCATTTTTTCCCTACATAACCCCCTAATGTTAATACATCATTTTAAAGATAGATAAATAAGGAAGTTTTTTAGTTAATTGAATATTAGAATATCAAACATTTTACTGACTTTATTTTCTTTAGCTATAAAATTTGAACGGAAATGTTAATAAAAGTAAATTTTACATTTAAAGCTATTTGCGAACCTGCTATGAAGAGTTGTTACTTTGGTATTGTGTTTAATTTGCAGTAAATCTAACCCTCTTTCAAATGATAACAGTTTTAATATCTTTCAAATGTGGGTTTGGCTTATAACGTCAAATTAACAGTGAAAAGTCATGTTATTTGAAAAAATCACAAATTACGCCATAACAGCTTAACGGTTAAAGGTCAGACCAGGGTTTATATACTTTTTTTTTCCTTTTAATGAGTAGCATAAGCTGTTAGAATTAATGCATACAGTAGTGACTTATCCTGTATATTAGATTCTTAAAAATTATTTATAGATTAAAATTCTTGATTACTGTCGTGGAAAAATAATATTGTAAAAAGGTTAAAATACCTGTAACTGCCTCGTGATTCCTCTGTTCCAGGTATTTTAACCTTTTTACAATATTATTGTCAACGTGATTCGGAATAAACAACACAACATGAAGTCGTGGAAAAAGTTTAGATACTTGAGTTTAGAGCTCTGCAGCAAATTAACTAAATTACTTAGAAAATCACGGAGTACATTAATTTGATATTAATAATAAAATATGAAACTAATATGGCGTAGCATTTTGAATATTCCAATTTAACTAAAACAATTCCCTTCAAAACACTTTTTTAATTTTTTTTCCATTTTTAAGAAAAGTTACTTTAGGCCTACCTAAATAACAACAACTTTTTGGGCAAAGCAAAACTTCTGAAGACATAAAAATTAATTTATAATGGATGTATCTATGTTGTGTTAAAGTTAAATTAAGTTCTGACTGTTGATTTACAAATTTTCAAAGTGAAAATATGGTTTTCAAAACCCTTACAACTACGCTCTTTTACAATCCGACTATCATAACACTTTTTTTTAAACAAGCTAAAAAATATTTATTTTCATAGGAGTACATAGAATAAGACGATGGAAATGTTATTGTACTCCGTGTTTTTTTAAGTAGCTTAGTTACTTTTCTGTAGAGCTCCAAACTTGTGTGTTTATTATTTTAAAAAAATTCCGTGACACTGGTGATAGTAAGTTGATTATAAATCTTATTTTTGGATGATTTGGGTGAGGTTCATAAAGTCCAAATTTCATAAGATCCAACAGTTAAAATATTAATAAACAGAGCGTTTCACAAGGTCCAAATTTCATAAGGTCCAAAACTATAACATTCAAATAATCACCGTTTCACAATGTCCAAATTTCACAAAGTCCAATGTTAAAATATCAAATAAACAGAGCGTTTCACAAGGTCCAACGGTACAGTCTCGGCCAGAAGTCGCTGCAGAGGTTGCCGTGGTTCGGTATGTAGGCACTACACGATCTAGTGTTGTTGCCGCGCGTCACAAAACATCATTGTGGGTCCGTAGATACGTTGTAAAGAGTGTAAAGTAGTGGTATTTACCCCCCTCTGCAGCAAACCTGCAGACTAATAGAATTTCTATTTCCATTATTTGATTTACACTAGAATATCCCCTTTAAATGATCATATTTATTCCCTATTTAAATAGCATTAGTTTAACAAGTACCGTACTTAGGTTTGTTGCAACAGGGAGGGTATTTTTTTATGGTAATAGTTTAGTATAAAGTAAAAGCATTTCCAAATTTGATCAAAGTATATTCATAAGCAAGCAAACCACAACAGTTTTTTTAATTCTCCATAAGTTTGTTTTCTTGATATATCCGATAAGAACATCCATTATAATGCAAACTTGGCTTTCCCTTACACTCACAGTTTCAATAAATTCCGTCGTAACACTTTATTAAAAACACTTAACAAAACACGAAATACAACAATTTACTAACCATATGATTCGAACTTAAATAATACCATAGATTAAAGGATAATCTATGATAATACGAATTAGAAAATATACTTAAAAAACATAGTTATACGTTTCAAATTTTTTCATCGGTAAAATGATCTCTTCCGATATTTGTAATGGATTTTTAATTGAGAGACGGAACAGTTAAGAAACTCAGCTGAAAGCTTGAATTAAAGCTATTAAAAATGTAAATTTGATTTGCACATTAATGTGTTAACACATAGATCAGTCACACAGATAAGTGTTCTTCAATCAATAAATGCACGTCAGTAATCAGTAGTTGAGCGCCGGCGGACGGTGCCTGCTATCTGACTGGGGCAACCACTGTAGAGACTTCTGGCCCAGACTGTACCGTTGGACCTTGTGAAACGCTCTGTTTATTTGATATATTAACGTTGGACTTTGTGAAATTTGGACATTATGAAACGGTGATTATTTGAATGTTATAGTTTTGGACTTTATGAAATTTGGACCTTGTGAAACGCTCTGTTTATTTAATATTTTAAACGTTGGACTTTGTGAAATTTGGACCTTATGAAACGCTCCCGATGATTTTACGTTTTCTCAATTAAAATGGTTCAAGAATTTTCTTTTCAAAAATTATTCAATTCATAGATTATTGTGACTTGTTATATTTATTTTTCCTAATCTGAGAACTTAAGCGGCATAATTATGTAGAATTTAGCCAACTTAACGAGGAGCATTTTATGCTCTATGCCTACATTATTCTTCATGATGAATTTTGGGTGTTCATCATTTTTGTGAAGGAAACCCATAATGACTAGCAAAGTTCAACTCAAAGTCAAAGTCAAATGGTTTATTTCCAGAATTTAAACAATACAATACACAGATATAAATTATAAAGAAATTAGGGGTCTGTGGTACAGAAAATTTAAGGTCGGTACGGTTCGGTACGGTACAATATTTTGTACCTCGGTTCTCGGTACAAAATCGGTACGGTTTGCAGCTACCCGTATTTTTGCGGTTTTCTGCTCAGAACTGTATTCAAACCATTATTTTTAACTTTAATACATTGACATAACTATGAAAATGGATAGTATCCTACATTCATGGTTTTCTAACAACAATTACTGTACCACACATTATTGAAACAAAACCTTTTACTTCTACGAGGATTGTGTCAAGAAAATTCACAGTTAAGATAAAGGCTTTACCTATTTTACTCTGAGATACTTTGAATAGCCATGATAAAAGTGGTTTTAAAAATAGGATAAGAGTTTTTTTAGGAATAAACATGTTTGAAACATTTATTGACAAGATAATTTCATACAACTGGTAAATTATTTCCAACCAACACAATGTCACAATTTTAAAAACATATAAAAGCATTCAGTACGATGACAGTGTAGTTGCCAGCTGTTCACTGGAGGTTATGATGAAGTAATGGCAAAGAGCATCTTTTTTTATCAGCTTCAAAACTAGTTATAATATGGATACAACTCTTGCAAAGTTTTTTTCTGAAACTAAAATTTGGATTATCTCAGAGTAAGATTATTGTCTTTTCATTTACAAAGTTAACGTCCACAATATCAATCATATCAATCATTAGTTTATCTCAGGCTCAATCCAATTTTCTTAGTATATTTTAAAGCTCTTCCAAAGAATCAAAAGACCTAGGCCTGGACCTAATTATTTAGGAGGGCCTATATATAAATTGATCAGGTTACAATGAGGGTAGCAAAATAACTACAGTATCTAGTTCATAAGATTTAGATTGCATAAAGTACCTTCAACACAAAAAAAATACAGGAAACTAAAAAACATTTAAGCCTTATCAGTATAAGGCCACATAACAGCCACATCTAACAATATAAGACAAAATACAGAACATGCAATGACATAATTTGAGATCGAGTAGGCTTGAATAATGAAAAAGATTATGCAAACAACAACAACTATGCTTGTGGTTTCGTCAATAGAAAAATAAAATATCTATAATAAATATTTAAACTTATAAAATAAGATTGTAGATTAGTTACAAGTTTAATATGTAGCCATAAACAGTTTTATGGCAGTAGGCAATGGCCAGCGGCAAATTGAATATCATGAAAATACTGACTGAGTTAGAGATAACATTTAACAGTCCTCATAAAACTATTATTTTTATGATAAAATAGAATTGGAGAAAGTCGTAAAGAAATAAAAGTGTTAAAACTCAACAGTTCCTGGAAGTACTTGAAAACAACAATTATTGTCGTGATAAAATGTTAATGGATTTGGGACTGCTAATGGGGTTTTTATTGCATCATCACCCTAGTAATAAATTATGAAGATCTAAACAAACATCTGATAAAACTTTTATGTGCTGGGAACCAACTGTCGTTGACTACGATAGTAAACTGAAAGTAATTTATTATTATAATAGGCTGTACCGAACTGAAACAAACATCTGATAAGACTTTTATGTGCTGGAAACCAACTGTCCTACGATAGTAAACTGAAAGTAATTTATTACGATAGTAAACTGAAAGTAATTTATTATTATAATAGGCTGTACCCCATGACGGTAATTAAGCTTGTACTGTACGACTTTTTCGGTGCACCGCAGACCCCTAAAAGAAATATATTTTTTCGCATAGGCATAAGCCCGTGTGCGGAAAAAGAGTTCTAAATCTGCTATAAACAATATTTGTTACATTGTGGATATACAATAATTTTATTTGTCTAATTAAACCATGTACATATAACAATTTACTGGGTGACTAATTCCTTAAAAATAAGTAAATATTAAATAAAAACATAATTTAAAAGTTAATATGTACAAAATTAGGACACAATAACACAAAATTAATTTAGAGTAGAATTTCCTAATGTAACCAAAGATTAAAATAAGCAACTGAAAGATGTAGCTACAATGCCAGGGTCTCAGCAGATTACTAACATGTTTAGGTTTTTTTTCTAATGAGCCTAATTATATGGGATTTTATCAGCACCTCCGTAGCCGTCCGGCCAATGCTGGCAAGCCAAGTACTCACCTTTCTTTTGTACACCGGGACACTGCTCTCCTCATACTGCAGGATTTGTGGCGGAAGATTGCGATATAAGATATGGGCGATAAAAAATTGGTTACTTTTTAGCGAGGTTATATTAAATCTAGGAAATTGGTAACCAAAGTTGATTCAATGTCTTGTAGAATAGTTATGCTGCGAATTGGTAAAAATTATGTTTTTGTTTGACCTAATAAAGACTAAAAGAGTTTTTACAAATAACTGTTGTATATCATGAACACGAAAATCTGAGTACAGATCCTCTGTTGGATATCTCGATGGTTTGCTTAGGACGGTTTTGATTAATGACCTCTGCACAACAGCCAGAGGTTCAAGCATAGAGGCCGAGACACCGCCCCACGCCAATATACCATATTGAAGCAAAGACTGCACGTAGGCATAGTAGGTCCTACAACAGTATTCCGTGGTCAGCACTCCAGCAAGTTGAGAAAATGCATATATGAGCTTTCTAAGTCGTTGTTTGATATAATGAATGTGGTGAGCCCAACTAAATTTTTGATCAATTATAATTCCTTGGTAAGTGTACTTCTCTACCCGCTCTATCGACGTCACAAGTACAAGCCGCTGACCGAAAGTCGCCGCAGGTATGAAGAAATAGTTGCCTCGGGCTAGGGTCACTTTCACTCTTAAAAATATTGGTAAACTTTTTGTTTTACTTATGTTAAGAGTCTAACCAGTGTTTAATTTTATAAATGTCTGTAGATGCGTGTTCATATGCCTCGTCCCACGTGCGTCCAGACAATACCATGGCCGTGCCATCAGCAAACAAAAAAAATTTCCCTTTAATTCTGACTTTTGAAAGGTTATTAATATATATCAAGAATAGGAGGGGCCCGAGTTTACTACCTTGGACCACTCCATAGTCAATGCTAGTTTTATCACTATCAACACTGTTGATGGACACATATTGTAAATGGTTTTCTAAATAACTGATAAACCAGTTTAATGAATGACCACCGATGCCAACTAGTCTCAATTTAGAAATTAGATATTGTGTGTTAATGAAATCAAATGCTTTAGCCAAATCTAGGAATGTTATCAATACACGCTTCTTGTTATTTATTTCTTCAGAAATAAATTTGGTTATATCAAATAATGAGTGTGATGTACTGCGGTTCCGTCTAAATCCATACTGCACGTCACACATAATTTTCTCTTGTTCAAGGTAATCTGATAGCTGAAGTTTTACACATTTTTCAAGAATTTTAGACACTGTGCAAATTAATGAAATTGTTCTGTAATTTATTGTTAGGTTTTTTTGGTCAGACTTATAAACAGGTATGACTTTTGCAACTTTAAACACCTCTGGGAACTTCCCTTCCCTTATACTAAGGTTAATTATGTATAATATTGGTAAAATGAGAGAGTCTACATTATTTTTTATAAATTTTGAGGGAATGTCATCCCATCCCGGTGCAGAGTTGCCTCTAATACCTTTTATAACTTTTAAAAGCTCCTCAACAGTGACAGGCCTTAGCAAGAACTGGGAATCGGTGGCGTGGTCAGCGTCATCGACCTCCAAGGGGCTGGCGGGCTGCAGCACTCCGGCTAGCTAAGATCCAATAGAGGCATAGTATTCGTTGAAAGTATCACAAATGTGTTTAATATCGTTGGTGGGGGCAGTATCCCCCATTGGGAAATTTAGACTTTCCAGCAGGACGCCCCGCTACATCATTAACAATTTCCCAGAATTTTCGTGGATTTCCCTGAGACTTGTCTGATTTATTTCTATAATAATCATTTTTTGCACGTTTTAGTAAGGATTTCAATGAGTTACGGTATCTGACATATACCGTTATAAATATTTTTATCTAGCACAAAGCTGTGTGTTAAATGGGTTTTGCTTAACTCTCTTACTTAATTTATCCCGATTGCGGATAGAAGTAAGAAGACCATTTGTAATCCATGGTTTTAATTTAGCCGTTTTAGCTCTTAATATGTGTTGGGACGTGTTTTGTTTCTATGATATTTTGAGAAATCAAATTAAAACTTATAGTTGCTGCATCTAAGTCGTTTGAAGTTAAAACTTATTACCAATTTTGAGATTTCAAAGTTTCTGTTATATTTTACCAATTAGTATTCTTGTATGTAAACTCGTTGCCCTTACTAATACCTGTATTATTTTTTAGTTCAAGAGAAACAATAAAATGATCTGTAATGTAAGTTTGTAAAACCGAAGTGTTGACACTCAGCCTGTTTGGCAGTTTTATAAAATAATGGTCGATACATGTATCACTAACTGGACGAGTAATTTTATCTATACAAGGAATGAATCTGAATTCATAAAGCAAGTCAAGATATCGTTCCTCTTGTGAATTTAAACATGGATTACGAATGTCACAGTTAATATCACCGGCAAAAATTTTAAGTGACTTTTTGTTTGTCATACTAAGAAATGTTTGAAGACCGTCGTTAAATGTAACTAGGGACGAGGAGGGACTTCTGTAGATGCAGATTAATTCACAATCAATATTGGCCCAGGTAAAAACTATGGACAAGCTGGTGGCGACTCCACCTATACAAATCTGGTTACGTGTTGCTAATAACATGTCATCTAAGTACATAACCAGACCAGTACTACAGAGCACTTTGTTTTGTTTGTTGCAGGAGGCAGCTGGCTCTTTGCTGAAGGGCCGAGTTCGTAGGAGTAGTGTATCTAGCCCAGGTAACTCAACGGTGAACAGTTCACCTCCTTCACCCTCTGCTCGTATGGCTTCCCCAGGACCTCAGCGACACCTAACACGCTCCATTCCTCCCGAGACTGAACTCAATCCAGAAGAGATCTATAAGTGAGTAAAGGACTTTTCTCTCACCAAAAAAATCCATGTTCGCTCATACACTTTTCAAAACTGTTTAATGTTTACTCAATAAAAAAAAACTATTCTAGCGCTGTAAAATTTAAATGCAGGCGTGTTTCACACTAAAACTCATGTGCAAACTGACCAGTTTTGTTTGAAAGTGACCTCTCTTAATTTCATTCTCTCTGCATCATGCTAAGTCATGCCTACAGCTGAACCCTGCTTAATCAGACATCCCTCAACCAGATTTTGGGTTATTTGGATTGAAAAAGAGAAAATCAGTAATATACAATGCCTTTAGGGCATAATAGGTTCAGCTATAATAAGTCGTCTACATATGACACCTTAGTTGTCTACATCAGGTTGTTTTGACAATCTGATTTTCATCTTCTGACTGCAGTGTGTAGGCATCAAACTTTGATTAAATACATAATATTCCCTAATAGTGATTTTTATATACAACCATTGCTTATCCAGAAAACTAGGTTTCCTAGAACAGTTATGCACCCTTTATTCTTATTACGTCCGCTTTTAGTGTAATGGTTCTTCCTTTCTGTTTTATTGGTCTGTAGTTACTCAACATAGAAGAAAAGATTTGGGTAGGCTCTGCGAAGGTTTGGAAAGGTACCAGAATAAAGAATCATGAGTGTTTTTCTTTAGTGGATGCGTGTCCAGTCAGTTGTTTTCCAAATTAATTTTTCTCATTGTTATCATAGTTACAATAGATGTAATGTAGGTATTGAAATTGTTGATAGGTACATTTACAGACTTTAATTCAATATGAAGATCTCTAATTATTATCTTATTTTTCAAAGATGAAATTGAAAAAATTTGTAAGGTTATGGATGAAATTATATTTAAAATCTCTTGTCGTTTTAAGGCCAAACATTTAAAATCATAATTCATTCAATATAAAAATAAAATTCATATAAACTACCTAGAAGTTTAATATATTTTATTTTGAGCTCGATTTGAAGATTACCCAGACCAAAAGTATTAAACAGCACTTGACCCATTGTCTCAACTATCCACCAAGTTATCACTTTTATTTAACAAAAAGCATCAATTTTTAATTAGTTTTGAATATTTAATTTTAATGTAAAAATGTTTGTATTTCATTAATAGACGGAGTTGTGGCTCTCAGGTTACCCAACTTTAGTGTATTGTTCCAAAATGTTGTTTCTGATACTGCATATGATAAAATACCAATGCTCTAAATAATAAATGTACACAATTTACGATTTATGTTTGGGCTTAGGTAATTTTTCAGTGTTCTAATCTTAGCTTAAAATTCTGGTAAACATATGCATTTCAAAGCCAGTGACACAACAAATTATTTAAAGGTCATTACGCAAGACAACAGCTGAGATCCAGAACTACACTTATGAGACGGGTATGGACAAACCTCCGGACAAAGACAACACAACATCCAAAGACTCGGGAATCAGTCAACTTTCCGGTACTGAAGCTTTAGAAGAAGCTATGGACGAGCTTTCACTTCAGTCAAACTCCTCTGTAAGTCTACAATGCTGAGAGTTTATGGATTGTTTTTGTATACACACTCCGTATAGTTTATAATTTTTTTCGTTATCCTGTTAGTGCAGACAATAAAACAACAAGGATTACATGGCAAACCTTGTATATTGTTTCCGATATTGCTTAATAAATAAATTCAAATTGGTTTATGATGTTAGTTTCCGATGTGAGCAATGTGGTCAGTTTCAACTGCCGTTGGTCACCTCACAACAGTTGTCAATAGTTGTTTGTGACAGTGCTCAACTCTGCCTGTCTCTTGAAAATAATGAGGTGATTGATGGTCACATTGTTTGTTTGAATTGATAAAAAATAACTAGGTATCTACTAGGGATGGACGGGATTGAATTTTTAGTTTGGGACGGGACGGGATTTTTATTTCCTTCCCGATTTTCGGGACGGGACGGGACGGGATTTTTTTCTGTGAATAAAAAGAAAGTACTGTATTTCAGTTACCAAAAAAGACATACGAAATCAATTTTTACCATTTGTGGCACTGATCTATAAAAACCAAAAAATGGGTAACAATTTACAGGTACCTATAGTAACTTGTGACTCGCGGGTCACGGGGTGATCGTCTGTATGACTCACGGTAACGGCCTGATCGTCGTCATGACTCGCGGTCACGGCGCGATCATGGGTATGACTCCGCGGTCACGGGGTTATCGTCGGTATGACTCCGCGGTCACGGGGTTATCGTCGGTATGACTCGCAGTCACGGCATGATCTTCGGTATGACTCGCGACCACGGCTCGATCGTCAGCATGACTCCCCGGTCACGGCGCGATCGTCATGACTCGCGGTCACGGCGCGATCGTCGGTATGACTCCGCGGTCACGGTGTTATCGTCGGTATGACTCGCGGTCACGGCATGATCGTCGGTATGACTCGCGGTCACGGCTCGATCGTCAGCATGACTCCGCGGTCACGGCGCGATCGTCATGACTCGCGGTCACGGCGCGATCGTCGGTATGATTCGCAGTCACGGCGCGATCGTCGGTATGACTCGCGGTCACGGCGCGATCGTCGGTAGGACTCGTGGTCACGGCACGATCGTCGATATGACTCCGCGGTCACGGCGCGATAGTCGGTAGGACTCCGTGTTCACGGCGCGATTGTCGGTATGACTTCGTCTCCTGCGTTCGCGGACGTATCGCTCACAATAACGGCGTTATCGGCACTCGCGAAGCGGAAAAATCGCCGACGATCGGACCAAATCCCGTCCCAAAAAATTCCCGAGTCAAATGTAATCCCGTCCCGATAATCGGGAATATTTTTTTCCCGAAAAATTCCCGAAATTTCGGGACCCGTCCATCCCTAGTATCTACTATATATTTTGTTTCATATACATATACTCGGACTACCGGATATATGTGACTCGGGTCGGATATCGGACTACCGGATCCGCCGGATCCGAGCTAGAACCGGCAACCGATCGGATCCAAAAAATTCCGGATCTTGGGCTGGATCCGGTTTTGATGGATCCGATTTTTTAGATTTTTTACTAACACAAAGCTGTCTGTATCCATGTACAAGACCGATTTTTTCCCGATTTTTTTACTAACACAAAGCTGTCTGTATCCATGTATACTGAGTACACTCACCACACAGGTTCAATAAAAGACCAATTTTGTCCCGATGTTTTACTCAATGTCACAGTACTGTATATTACAATGTCAATAACCTCTATGGTTAGTCAATGTCACGTCACTGTATATTACAACGTCAATAACCTCTATGGTTAGTCAATGTCACATTAGGCCTATATGCCTCATAATTCTATTCTAAAAAAAAATTATTCTCGAATCCCAATCTTTTCTTAAGATTCGGTGGATTCGAGATCCTGATTCGACACATCCCTACCTTCGATCTTGAGTATGCTATATCGTGGTTTTTGCGTGCAGCATCCAATTTATTTATGCCTGGATCACCCCTTGCTTATCTCTTCCTTTAATTCGTTCCAGGTCCACAGTACTGATAGCTGGGTATGTGAAATTCTACAGGTAAAATACCCTGTGTCTGTGTACAAGATTTTCTGTGTACATACAGGGTGAATAAAAAGTCAAGACTCCCCCATCTAATTTGTTAGAACACAATATAGTCTTCTTGTACACAGACACAGGGTATTTTACCTGTAGAACTTCACTTACCCGGCTATCAGTACTGTGGACCTGGAACGAATTAAAGGAAGAGATAAGCAAGGGGTGATCCAGGCATAAATAAATTGGATGCTGCACGCAAAAACCACGATATAGCATACTCACGATCGAACTATAGTAAAATTATACACAGATACCCTTTTGGTGGTTGTGGGAACTTAGCACATAGTTTCATTTTATTTAAGATTTTGAAAAGTTTTAGTGTCCCCAAAAAATTAGGGATTATGGGCTCAACTGGAGATTACTCTATATAATAAGATATATTAACCTTTAAACATTACCAATTTAATTTTAAACAGTATGATTTAAATTGGCATTCTGTTAATTAAGTTTTTTAACCCGCCCTTATGACAGTGTGTACCGACATTTTCTTGGATCCGCCCATCCCTAGTTTTTAGTTACCTTGTTTATCTTCTAGAAGCGTTCGGTTGCATACCTAACTAAGTAGGATTGTCTAGATTGTGATTTAAATAAATAATTAATAGATAATAACCATACGTCACACTGTTGTTGTGTGTTCAGAGTACCACGTCTACTACCCTCACCAATCGAGTCCTGACTGTGAGGGACTGTGTTGATGCGGCTGACAACGCTCAATCCGAAGGTGAGAAAGCAGATTTATCTCAAACTTTAAAAAACTATGCAAAAATTACACCAGTATTTTTTTCAGGGTTTTTAGTGTACTTAAACAAAAGGGACAGGTCAATAAGTTGTATTTCTTTGAAGAACATTTAGATACTAGGGTTATTTAAATATTTAAATCGTTGTATTTGTAGAAAATATTTTTAAAATTGTCTAATTACTGATGGAAGTACTACATATGTGAGACGATGTAAACTTAGCTTCAAACTGTTCTGCACCTCTAGATCCAACTCTAAATACTAAGCTATTATCATTATTTTTATAATTTTTACGATAAGGAGATATTTATTATTTAATGCAATGTACAGGCCAACCAAGCAGGCGGTCTTTGACCATTGTTTTATAGTGACATGTAAAATTTTCTTTAACAGCAGGATGTCAAAAATAAATGCATTTTTTATTGAGCGAGAACCTCTTTTGCCAAAATGAAATCTGAGAAGGCCGTTTCAGATTACAAAACTTTGGTTATAAACTTTATTTGTCTGACATTTTAAGTGTAAGAAGAGTTTAAGTTTAAGAATAATAATGTAGTAAAAGTATATCTTAAGGTTATAAAACTCTTGTAATGGGAAAACTTAATACATAGTTAATCTACATGCATGTATATCAATTATCCATAATACCTACCTCCTGTACTAGATTCTCTATCTTGAAATATTTATTTAAAATCAGTACCGACTTTGGCGATTGGTTCTTGGTTTTGGTTTAAGGCCAAGAATCAGTGAAGTTAAGAATTATCATTTGGCATCCATCCGTCCCTAATCACAAAGTCATCATGTCATGACTATAATATGTGATCGTGAACGTTTCCTGTAATTGTGGTGACATCATGGATCGTTTTCCTGTGATCGTGATGACATGACAATTTTCAGTGGTTGCACAATCTTTGCAGGTATGCTTTCTGGGATCACAAGAATAAAACTTAATTTTCTGACTTGGTACTCAATCATTCAAGCCTATAACCTAGGTTAGGCTCTAATGAATTGACTAATTAAATTTGCTGGTTCTATAGGAGGTGTGATGAATGAGGATGAAGCTCTGCGCAAGGTTGTGGACTCTCTTACGCAGCCTGACTGTGACAATGGAGAGAACGTTTCTATTTTGTCTGATGCTGAGAAGAGAGCATCTCTGACTCAGCTGACTCGACTGATACGAGACAGCTCAGTCAAAGCGTTACAGGACAACTTCAGGTAATCTTCTTGACTATCAGATAAATCTTGTAGATTAAAAACTATTGATGACAAAAAACTAACTTAATTAGTAGTGTTAGGATTGTGTACCAATGATGTGAGAGACCCCCCCCCCTTACGCATGTCACGGCTCTCTAAGCATCTATTCCACATCCAGGTATATGTATTTACCATTTATTAAACACCTCCAAGTCACGGTTTGGTTGGCTACTATTATATGATAGGTTTCCAATTTCCTTATTGTTAACTTCTGACAAAACCCGCCATGAAGGTAATATAAAGCAGCTTAACAATGCTACAACTAGTTACAAATAGGCCTAGTTTAGTTACATACAATTTAACTACCATATCCTCCACCCCCCCTCTTATAAGAACCCCCCTCCCGCTGCAAACCTCCCCCTCCCCTCTGTTCACCACTATAAGAACAATTTTGCCATTGGGCACCAGAAAGCAGATAAAAAAATTACAGCATCATTACTGTTTGGTTTTTTGGGAGAAGGAAAATCAACTCAAATGAAACGTAGTGTGTAAATTATAAATAAAAGTAAATGATGGAATGTGTATTTAAAAAAACCTATGAAGTGATTGTAAATGATGAAATAGCAATAGTTTTGTCAAGGTAGGCCAGAATTTGATCATTCACGTAAGAATCAGCAAAGACAAATCATATTTGACTGCAAGTTAGCCTTGAGTGTTTGTTGTACAAAATTATTTTTTTCTGATTTTAGGCCGATTCTGAGGATTCTTCTGGGCAACTTGACCCTGGAAACCAACAACAGAGATGTTCAATCCAAGATCCTCACTTTGAACGCTTTCACAGAACTGCTCAAGAAAAGAGCCATCACTGAAAGCTTTACTCACTTCACCGAACTTGTCATTCTGAAGGTCCTTAACTGCTATAAGGATAATAGCAAAGAGGTACTGTGAGCTATTCCTCTCTTTAAAAACTAGTAATGTATTGGTTCCAGTTTTCTCGATTCTGATTCTGGTTATGATTTACAAAAAAGTCTCTCAGCATGTAAACATATCCTAAGAAATTCATAATTCTAAACTTTTTATCAATTGGAACAAACTAGCGTGATAGATTTAAAAATTAATAAACATGAGCTAGATTAATGTAAATCCTACAATAAAATGATGCTGACAGTGAATACTTCTTCCGACCAGGCCCTTAGGAAAATACATAAATTAAGAAAGCATAGCCAAGACACAACAAAATAGAAAGAAAGGTCTGTTTAGCTGCATTATAATTTATACAGCCTTGTTAGACACACATGTATTACAAATGTATTTACTTAGTAATAAGGATCATCTCTAGATACTATCCGTCATCTCAAGATAGTATAGCTTAAAATGTGTTAATGTTCGAAGATGTAACAATCATGCTCCCTTTTGACATTCCGCTGGTATTTCGGGGTTTGGCCTGATGTGGGTTTGACTTCTGTTTTGAAGGCAAATATTTGACAGTACATTTATTTTGTAACAGGTTGTTCGAAGTGGAGAGACGTGTGCCAATATGATTGCCACCACATTACCAGCTGATGCTGTCATTCGAGTCTTGACTCCACTCATCCAAACGGGAGAGTACCCTCTCAATTTGGCAGCCATCAAGATGTTGACCAAACTGGTAGACGCTTGCGGTCGGGATCCCATCATGGCCCATCTTCCTGACTTCATGCCTGGCCTTTTGCAGGTACAGATAAATCTGGAGTAAATAAAATTCAAACTTTATTGCTTCTGTAAATAACTTCTAAATGCATAACTCTAGTAGATTTTCTAATGAACAAAACTAAGTATTCTTTTAGTTTGGTTATTGATAAGTATCTGGAGCATTTAAGTTAGTTTATTATATTTTTTTATACATTTGAGTTTATTTTTTGACAATGATTAACATTTCTGTTTCTGACATTGAATAGTGGTAAAAGATTGGTTCTTATTTGGCTCTCTTCATTAAATATTCTTTGAACAACATGTGAATGCAAATTAGAAATATGCTTGAGACTGGAAGGCTTAACACTTGGCTTAACACTTTTAACCTAATAAAATTGTTGACAGTCATACGACAACCAGGAGAGTTCGGTTCGCAAGTCTGCGGTGTTCTGTATGGTGTCCCTTCACTCTGCCATAGGCGAGGAGGGATTGAAACCACACTTGGCAGCTTTAAATGGCAGCAAGCTGAAACTGTTACATTTGTACATTCGGCGCTCCCAACAAGGATCATCTGCCCCAACGTCGCCTCGCAACCATCCTCCCACCAGCTAATAACATGCGTAAGTAAATAATCCCCCCCCCCCTCTAGATAGTGATATGAGTACAGTAGACTCCTTCTTATCCGGACTCCTCGGGACCGAGACCAGTCCAGATAACGGTTTTTCCGGTTAAACAACATCCCCAAAAACTCGTTAAAACGAACCGTTTGAATGCATAATGTATAAGCCAATAATGATTACTGTACACACTGTATGAACGCGACTAACGATACATGTGCACACCACGGGAATCGCTTGAAAACTAACCCAAATATTTGACTTAAATTTAGGAGAGCATTGTATTTAGTCACGTGATCACTGGTCTCAAATCTTTCCCATGAGAACAGTCGTTTTAGTACCGCCCACTGCCGATCTAGTTTGGTTAAACCGATGTGCTGATAAAAATTGTCCGGTTAAAGAGATGTCATTTTCACCGAGTGTAGTCCGGTGAAAAGGTGTCCGGATAAGAGGGAGTCTACTGTAAGTCAATCGTACCCCTGCCAGCTAATAATATGTGTAAGCCAACTATCCTCCATAAGCTAGTAACACAAATAAGTTAACCATCCCTTCAAATGCTAAAACATGAGTAATATAAGCCCCACTATCTAATAGCATGATTTCATCAATTTGGAGGTAAAATTAATAAGTAAGTATATTAAATGATAACTCTTTATAACACTTTAAACAGTAATTTTTTCATAGAAAACCCATAATTTAACCATTCTCTAAACCACCATGACATAAACCTTCAAACTAACACCTTGAAACAAAACTAAAATTTTTGGTAACAGTTTGTCAATTTCCCTTAAAAAGGTATTTTGTTAGGAATTCCAAATAAAATTTTATGGGCCTAGCTACTGTGTTCCTCTTGCCTCAGGTAGCGTAAACTTATTACACATCAATCAAAAGTGGAGCCATCTTCCTGAAGCTTTGTCCAAGTTAAATTGAATCTCGCAATGCACTGGATCTTTTTTTAACTAAACTAATGTTCTTTGGAGTAGCTGTATAATACTGGGTTATAAAATAAAAAGGGTACAGTTAAACATGATTTTAATATATGTATTCTTTTCAGGTATGAGATGAGTAGCACTGGACGAACATCATTTCATATGTATTTTTTACGCTATTAAAAGTATTTAACGATATTTAACACTAAAAGCTGAATTTGTTTAAATAATTTATTAGCAAGCTTTGATATTTATCCATGTATCGTAACAAATAATAAATCAAAATGTAGATAAAACGGTGCTAGCGTGACCAGAGTGCGTGCCATGTTTGTATTATGTCAGAGAGCTAGCCTGCAAGAGATATGGTGTTAAATCGTTAAGCTTTATCCTTGTACAAAACTAAGCCAAATTATGTTAATGTTAACTTGTACATAATAATACTGTGAAAATGTAACAAAAATATTTATCTTTAAGATATTCGAGTCTTTACTAAGTCGCCAGTAGTTTAACACGTTCCTTCGAACAAGCTGTTGAATGTAAATTGTTTAATTCAATTTCTTGTTGTTTTTTGTTATCAGAGTGGCAAAGAGAACGGCTTTCTCAGCATGAAAACAATAAAGTTTAATCCTTCTTCGGTTTTTTACATCACTCGTTCTGACATACCTTACGTAGTGTAAGATTAGGATAGGTTTAAATATGTGATTTGTTTTATCTTATCGATATTTTTAGATGCATTTGATTTCCTATTTTGTACTATTACCTACTAGTTTTGTTAGGAGTTTTTCAAGTGTTGCCAACACTCACTGCATCTTTGAAGGCTCCACGATGCCACTCTACCTGAGTTTTAGTCTATTACTGAGATTTAACCGTTCTGCTCTATGTAACAATATTCTAACAAGGCATTTTGTATTTTTTATAATATAAAATCTTCATATAAATAAAATGCGATTCTGTTAATTTGAACCAAAGAAAATGGCATTTATTATTTATTTTTCCATTTCCTAATTCCTCTATCTGATTTGTCAATTTCCTTCAAAGGTCATGCAGGAGTCTTAATATTACAAGCTCACTGCACAGGTAATTTACTATGATCCAGTGGTTTAAAAAAAGTGTCACAAGTTTTATAGATAGCAACATAATGCGCTTGACATCAGGTCTCAAATATTTCCCTATTGCTGTCATTTTTCTAAAGGCAGGAAAATATTTGAACAATAAGTTTCTAACACACATTTAACCTATCTTCAATTGGGAAACAAGTTAATATGTATCAAATTCCTTGCTTAGAATGTTTTTGACAGAAACACACCTCTTTGTTAGAATCAACCATGACATTTACATTGACCTTGACTTCCACATCAACCTTGACATCCACATCAACCTTGACTTCCACATCAACCTTGACATCCACATCAACCTTGACTTCCACATCAACCTTGACATCCACATCAACCTTGACTTCCACATACAACTTGACATTCATATCAACTCAACATCAACATGATAAAAAAGTAATTTTGAGCCTCACATTAATTTTTCCAACAGTTTTTTATCCTATCAATGCTGATTGTTCAAATAATGCTTGCCAACCATTTTTCCTCAAGGGCCACATTGAAATATTTTGCAGGGAAGGCGGTTCAGTCATATTTCAGTGCAGAAAGTTTACCCCTCTCCCACAAACTCACTTAAGTCATTAACTAATTAGAGTTCAGTGGTGGTGGTTTCTGGGATGTTCTTAATTAATGTTTATTTTCTTTATTTCCTTACATACAACTGAATTGTTGACTAACTAAAATTCCAGATAGGCCTAATGAAAACCCCGGATGACAAAATTCTTTTCTATCTACAAAAAAGTTTACTTGATATTAATTATGATTGTGATAAGCAAACCTCACAATACAGGAGTTTACAACAAGTGTAAAGCGTAAAAAGATCAGTATATTTTAGAGGGAATATTGCAAAAATGTCAGCTAGTTTACGGTGGCATTTTTGTTCCAATAATCAGAACTGATTCCAAACTTCCTTCTAAATAGGCAGATCTGTATTTATTTCGATGACTCGGCCACTACATCTTGATGGCAATTTTTTCCCTATTGTCAAAAAACTGGTAAGTGAGAGACGTATAGACAATAGACAGGTATAGGCCTACTATACTCATATTTAAACACAGTAGCCAGCCGACTTGTGGATCGGTAATTGTATTTTAATTTTAATGAAGGGGAAAAGAGTGAATTGTGCTTGGATATGGTGTGGGGGAATTCACCAACTCCTATGGCCGAGCCTCCATTCATTGATGACGTTCACCATAGTTTTGCGTGGAAATATCCGTTTTAGGTCCACCCTGAACCCAACAAGGTGATTTTAGAAGTGGTGACTCGATGACTGACTGTGAGTGTGAATGTGTACAGAGCCACAGACTACGCCGGTGGTCCGATTTTGATGAAATTTGGTTTGTGGGAACTAACCTGTGGTATCCTTCCTCAATTATTTTAATTTTTAAAGATTATTTCTCCTTAAAATCCTATAAATTAACAGAAAAATGAGTTATGTAAGTTTACCTCTTGGTTGCCTTGCCAGGTTCTTGACGTTATTGAATGTCAAACCTATCTTGCCAACTCTTTAGTATAAGATTGTGTTAACGTTACCTTATTTTATGTGTATTTTGTTATCACTTTCTTAGTCTAATTTTTGCCCAGATGTTACAGCAGGCGGATAAAATATTTGTCATCTGATGCTAGGCTCAACAATTTATTATTTATATGTATGTTTAACCTTGTAACTAGTCACACTACTTGAAAAAGTGACCAGTTTACATTTCTCAACAATTTAGCTCCCAAAGATTTTAGAGAAGGTTGTATAAGTGAAATTGGTCTGTAACTTTTAGCATCTGTGTTTGGTCCACTTTTATTAGGGTATACCTTGGCAGTTTTCAGCTGTGTTAGGAAGACCCCTTGTTTGAGAGACTTATTTATGAGTGCTGTCAGTGGGTTAATCAGTTCATTTTTACATGTTTTGACCATTTTGGCTGATATTTTATCAGTGCCAGATGAAGTTTTTGGTTTAAGTGAGTCTATTGCTTTTAGTACTTCGTTACGTGTTGCAAGCTGAAATTTTAGTTTGTTATCTGTTAAAGGAGGAATTTGGGGGGTTCTGGTGTGTGTGTTGGTGTTGTTGGCCTGAAGTGTCCTTTCCGCAGCTGTAGCAAAAAAACTGTTGAGGTGGTTTGCTATTTTGATTGGGTCCTGTAATGTCTCCCCATCTACTAGGAGTTCCCACTCATTTGCTATACTGGTACTTGATTTTCTCTCATTATTTATAACCAGCCAGAGTGCCTTGGACTTGTTGTCAGCATTGCTTATATAGTCGGATGTTTGAGTTTTCCTCAAAGTCTTTAGTCTTAGGTCATAGTCCCTTTTTCTTGCTGCAGTTTCTGCTTTATCTTCAGGTAGACCTGTGCAGTTTTCTTTTTCCAGGGCATTTATATATAGATTTTTTAGTCTAGAGCATTCAGCATCCCAGCAGTTTTTTGGGTTGTGTTGTTTTTTCCTTGTCATTTTTACTGGGCAGGTCTCATTTAGTATTCCGTGGATAGCCCTGTGAAACTTGTTATAAGATTCATCAACATCTTTTATAGTTTCACAGACTATTTCTGAGTCGTCATCACTTATCTTAAGTACTTTCATATAATTTTCCAGGCCATGTTTGGCATATCCTGCAACTCTTCCTTTCGTATGATTTCTTCTTGTGTAGCCTCCAATTAGGGTGTAGCCAGCTAGCTGTGTGTTTTCTAAGTTTTCTCGGGAGAGACCATGCTCTGTAACAATTATGAAGTCTGGTTGTTCATTATTAAGGAAGTGTGATAGTCTTTCTGTTTTATTAGACAGCCAGTCTATATTATGGTGGGCAAGGGTGAGTTGGTGTCTGCGAACTAGTGGGTGTTTTGATTGGTTGTCAACATTGTTTTTAGATTTTGTTATGTTGTTGCCGGTGGTTTGCTTGAGGTGGGTCCTAAAAAAGAGGTTTGGGTGTTGCTGGTTTCTGTACTTGGGTTGCTGGTATCTCCTTGGGGTGGGATCAAGGTACTTCTAAAGGCTGGGGTTTCAGAGTGACTAATCGAGGCTGATAATCTCTCATTGTGTTGGATATTTATGTCTTTGAAGTAATCTATATGCTTCATGAAAAAGCCATCCAAAGTTTCCTGGTCGCCTCATATTCTTGCTGTCATAGGTGGAAGCATAGACAAAAAGAATTAAATATAGACCGTCAGCTGTGCTGCGGTTACCATAGCTTCTGGCGCACACCGCTTGGAGCGCCATGTATTTACGGCGTACGCGCTACGTAAACTACAGCGGTGTGCGCCGGAACCTATGGTAACCATGGTAACCACAGCACGGCTGACAGTCTATATTTAATTCTTTTTGTCTATGGTGGAAGCCTCTCTTTTTGAGTCAGTTTTTAGAAGGAGTTTGGCTGTCTCTCCTTGTAGTTTCTTGTGTCAAGATTTCAGCATCTTATTTCTGTTTTACACCATCTAGCTGTAAGCCTATTTTACATTGGCAGGTTCTTCAAGCCGAACTTTGATTTTGGCTACTTGGAGAGATACACTGAAATGGTTCCTTTCCTTCCCAATTGGTTTTTTGCTCTTGCTTAGGTTGTGCTTTTTAGAACGAGGAAAAATCTCTTTATTGGATGTACTTTGTGTGACTGCTGATGGTGTAGCAGGGTTTGTTTGTTCACCTTGTTTGTGCAGTTCTTTTTGCAAAGTTTCCACAGAGCTCTAGTTGGTCTTGTCGAGTTTTCAGCTGAGCCAGCTCAGTAATTAGAGAGGCGCAGTAGTTGGGAACATAAAAATCGGATTGATTTGTTTGTGTTGCTGAAGTGCCAGTAGGTTTTGGTGTCTGAGGTAGGTCCGGTTTGTCATCTTGGTTTAGTTTCAGCTTGTTTATCATTCCACCTAAATGCTTAATTTCATTTGTCTGAGTAGAGTAATATTTTTTCTCTCTCATTATCTTGTTCTTCAAAGGTTTGTATTATTTTAATTCTTAGCTATCTTTCCTTCTCTAGTTGGAGTTCTAATTCATTTAGTGTTTCAACCAGTGAAGCATTTTGGGAGAGCAAGATTTCCTTGTCATTTTCAAGCTCTTCAATTTTTGCTTCGGCAAGGTTCTCCTCAGCAAACTTTTAGTCTCTGAAGTCTTGGCATTTTAAGGAAGAGAATTTTTGCTTCATATCATGTAGTTCTTGCTTTAATTTATTATTTTCTAACAGTAAAGCATGTCCAGCTTCCGCAGCAAGAGTGAGCGATGTCTCTATGTATATATATGTCTATATATAGAGTTTTATATATATATATATATATATATATATATATATATATATATATATATATGTGTCCATCCGCACGATAACTTGAGTAATTTTTGTCCGATTTTGATAAAATTTGATTTGACGGTGGAAGGCAGGATAAACTTGAATGAGTTTGCGAACCAGCATAATCGGACCATGGGAACGGGGGGTTTTATGGGGTGAAAATGGGTTTTTCTAATTTTTTACCCTTAAAACACAAAATTTATCAATTTTTCTCTAGACCTATTTAAAGAGCTTAAAAAATAAATAATTTAGTATATCAAAGTGTTTTTGTACAACGATTGGTTACGGAAAAAAATTCAAAAATTTTTAATTTAAAATTCCCATGTTATTCTTATGGAGAATATTATGTGTTGTAGTTGGCTTGTTTAACTTGGCGGATGTATTTATTTCATACTAAGCTATCGATATTTAAATAAAAAACACACTTTATTAGTTTTCGTGTAGCAGCTAACCTATGTACTCGTTTTAAACATTAAATGTTTAATTTAATAGATTAATTAAAAATCAATCCAGGCAAATGGAAATTCGCCAAGTCGGCAGGTTTGCTGCAGCAGGGGTATTATTGCTAAAATGTTTCCTTAAACATGTCATCTATT